TGTACTGTAAGCCTGGCAGCAAAACCTCTGTCCTACGGATGGAAGCTTGCAGTTTTTCTGCACTTACTGGGTGGGCACATCGGTTTAATTGTGGGGTTCACAGTTAAGAAGCCCATTGTGGCATCTCCCTGGCCCATGTAACCAGGTTAGAATTTTTCAATATTAAAGGGAGTGTTTTGATTGTTGTCCATTGTCTCCGTACTCTTCAATTGGCATGAAAATCAGATGGGAAGAACAGATGTTATTTGTTGGCTTCTTCAAACTCTATGTGTAGATGGAACACATTGATTGATACTATATTATAGAACCATGAAGATTCTTTCACAAATGGGATCACCAGTGGTCTCAGTCTTGAAAATTTTTTAGATTATAATAGTCAAAAAGGATAGAAAAGTCACTCTATAGAAAGGCACACATGTTCATGGTGTTAGCAGTGGCAAATCCATAGGGTCTGCAGCAACTTGATTCTTATCCTGAGGAAAGAATTCGTCCAAGGGACATTAGGCAGAGTGAGAGACCAAGGCAAGTTTTTGAGCAGGAGTGAAAGTTTATTAAAAAGTATTGAAGGGCTGGGCACAGTGGCTCACGCCTGTAATCCCAGCACTTTGGGAGGCCAAGGTGGGAGGATTGCATGAGCCCAGGTGTTGAGACCAGCCTAAGCAACATAGTGAGACCCTGTCTCTATACGAATAAAAATCAAAAACGAGCTGAGGTTTGTGGCTCACACCTGTACTCCCAGATACTCAGGAGGCAGAAGTGGGGGGATCGCTTGAGTCCAGGCATTGGAAAACAAAACAAAAACAAAACCAACAAAACAAAATAAAAATTTCATAAGCAAAATATATTTCTTGTACCATACAGGGAGAAAAGGGCATAATGAGAATTTCAAAAATGTTTTTAGTATGTACCAAATACTAAGTTTCATACATGTCATAGTGTTTCTTTCCGGTATTCTTACTTCCAGCCATACGCACATTTTCTGCTGTCAAGCAGTTCTCACTGTGCCCAGTATACACCATCTCATCCCAAACCTCTGTTTTGTCATTAGGCAGCCCTGGATCTTTCTTTCTTCTGTATGGAATTCCACATGTTTCTAAAGAACTCTACTAATTCTTAACTACTTGGTTGGCATACAGGGACTCCGGGTGGTTTAATGAAAAGATGGCCAGTTCAAAGGTGTAAAGTTTATATAATGGCAAAGGATAAAAGGAATTAAGATAACATTTTATGATGCATTAAATTACACATCACACTCCCAGGCAGAGTTGCAGCTTTCCAGATCCCCAGAGTTCTCTACAAGGAGGTGGCACTGTGGCTGATACCAGGTGTGGAGAGTTAATGGATGCATCAGCTATGAGATAATCTCTGGGCAATCTGCCAGGATGTTTTTACAAATGTCTTCTGCAGTACAATATACTCACAGAAAAAGGCACATTTCATGTGTTCAGGTTGATAGAGTTTCGCAAACTAAACACCTCAAGGGAGTTTATAGACCGTGAACTCTGCTCTGTCCAACTATTCTGGAAACTGTGACATTGAGTTTGCCTGTAAAGCAAAACAACTTCAATACATGCCTGAGTATTTTCTGTGAAACTGGGTATTTCCAAAGCTCATTGCTCAGCTGGCCTAGACTTCAGGTCTATTTAGCACATATTCTTAGGCCCACCTTTTCCTATTTCACAGGTGCTTCTCATCTCTCCTTTAAGCTCTTGTTTACTCTGGATCACACATTTTAGTAATTGGGAGCTCACTAATTGCTTCACATCTATTCTGTTCCCATTGCAACTTTATTTTGACAACATGTATTGCTTACTATTTAATTGAAAAGTTGGTTTTTCTTTAAATATATCATTTAAAATTGTTTTCTTCAAGTAGCATTATTTTAAGGAGTGGAACAAGAAATTAATGACAAAATGGGATTTTTCTCCTTAAATAAGATTTTTTCTTTTTCCTGTTTTTTTTTTTTTTTTTTTTCTTTACAGTCTGTTGCCAAGGCTGGAGAGCAGTGGCTCAATCTTGGCTCACTGCAACCTCTACCTCCCAGTTCAAGTTATTCTCCTGCCTCAGCCTCCTGAGTATCGGTATTATAGGCACACACAACCACGTCCAGCTAATTTTTTATTTTTATTAGAGACGGGGTTTCTGCATGTTGGCCAGGCTGGTCTCGAACTCATGACCTCAAGTGATCTGCATGGCTCGGCCTCCCATAGTGCTGGGATTACAGATACGAGCCACCATGCCCAGCCTTAAATAAGATTTTCAACAGCTACACAATTAGGGTGAGGAATCCATAAAACATTCACATCTTTAATATTCCAAGTGGAAGTTCTAACTGCTTTAACACTCTGTCCTCTACCAGTTCACTGTACAAATCTATAAATTCTTATAAATTAATCTTTATAAATTTTGTTTCTATATTATATTGGCCAGATATTTTAGTTAACATCTCCTAAACTGCAAACATGTTGACTAGAGACCAGCCTCAATGAGGCTTCTGTCTTTGAAACTGCCTGTCTCTGTAGGACAGGGTACATTGGACTTGAAGTCATGATGCTAAACTACTGGAAGGTTTGGGCATGGGTTTCTTTTATATGTTTTACTTACAGAATATTATAACCAATTTGGCTTATCAAATTAGTGTAGCTAGAGGCCGAGGCAAGCAGATCATTTGATCATTTGAGGTCAGGAGTTTGAGACCAGCCTGGCCAACATGGTGAAACTCTGCTTCCAATAAAAATACAAAAAAATTAGTGGTGGCGGGCACCTGTAATCCCAGCTACTCAGGAGTCTGAGGCCTGAGAATCACTTGAACCCGGAAGGTGGAGGTTGCAGTGAGCTGAGATTGTGCCACTGCACTCCAGCCTGGGTGACAGAGATGGAGTTTGTGAGACTCCATTTCACCCACAAACAAACCCACACATAAATTAGTGTAGATAAAAGTGTATTCCTCAAGTTTGACAAGAAAGGGGAGAGACAGGCACAGCTACATATTGCTAGAGTGTAAACTGTACAACCTCTCAGAAGAGCAGTATGGTAATACTTATTAAAACTGGTTACACCGTTATGCCCAGTAATTTCATTTCCTTTTCCTTTCTTTCTTTTTTTTTTTCTTTTTTGTGAGACAAAGTCTCACTCTGTCTCCCAGGCTGGAAGTGCAGTGGTGCCATCTCTGTTCACTGCAACCTTCGCCTCCCGGGTGCAAGCTATTCTCCTGTCTCAGCCTCCTGAGTAGCTGCATTACATGCGTGTGCCACCACGCCCAGGGAATATTTTGTATTTTTAGTAGAGACGGCGTTTTGCCATGTTGGCCAGGCTGGTCTCAAACTCCTGACCTCAGGTGATCCACCAAAAGTGGTGGAATTACAGATGTGAGCCACTGCGCCTGGGTTCCATTTCCAGTGTTTTTTTTTTTTTGAAACAGAGTTTCGCACTTGTTGCCCAGGCTGGAATGTCTGAGTACATATTCATAAATACAGATAAAGATTTATGTATATAATGTGGTAATATATAGAGGCTAAAAGAAAAAAAGATTTTGGTACAAAGATATTTCATCCACCATTATTTATACTAAGGACAAAAATGTCGAAGCCATCCAGCTACAGGGAATATGTTAAATAATTTATTCCATTAGGTAGAAAAAAGCTAATGAAATTTTAGACATGGAAAAAGCTCATGACACAAGTTTATGTTCAAAAAGACAGTTTGCAGGACTTTTTGTAAAATTATTGATGTTTTCTCTGAAAGACTGAGAGGAAATGTTATCTCTGAGTGGTGTAATTATTGAACCTGAGAGGCAGAGGTTGTGGTGAGTCGAGATTGCGCCATGGCACTGCAGCCTGGGCAACAAGAGCGAAACTCTAGTCTCAAAAAAAAAATTATGTTTATTTTATTTTATTTTTTTTTTGAAACTGTCTTGTTCTTGTCGCCCAGGCTAGAGCGCAGTGGCATGATCTCAAATCACCACAACCTCCGCCTCCCGGGTTCAAGCGATTCTCCTGCCTCAGCCTCCCGAGTAGCTGGGATTGCAGGTATGCGCCACCACGCCCGGCTGATTTTGTATTTTTAGTAGAGACGGGGTTTCTCCATGTTGGTCAGGCTGGTCTTCAACTCCTGACCCCAGGTGATCTGCCCACCTCGGCCTCCCAAAGTGCTGGGATTACAGGCTGCCGAGTACGGCCCAATTTCAAATTTAAATGTGACCATTTTAGGTCATTACTCTTCAAGGGTAACTTTGGTTTCCACAGGCTGATATATTTTTAATATTTCCTCATGGATTCAAAATAAAAGCTGTGTCTTTGATTTTCATCTGAACATAGTCCTACACTATGTCGTGCATTTAGTTAACAGGTGGTAACTTGCCTAGGAACTTTTTCCTGGATAAATTTTATCTCACAAAGGACTGGCAGGGCCACTTTGTAGTTAATGACACACGGAAACCAGTGCACTGTGAGCCACTGAGGTGCACTGGCAAAGGCTTAAGAAAAGGCATCCGGCGTTCCAGTGAGCTCAGGATACCCACTCAGCGGCAGGGCTGGGGCCGGTGGCAGGCAGCCTGCCCTGGTGAGACCTCTGGGGAAACCCGAGCGCGGAGGCGAGGACAGAAGACGCCAAGACAGGGACCGCCGACGGCGGCCAAACAGTGAAGGCCAATCAGGGAGACCGGCCTCGGAGAACAGAGGCAGTGCAGGGTGGAGAACGAGAGAAAGAGGTAAAAACTTTCAGCAGGGATGGCCGAACTGTCGATGCAATGCAGCTTTAGCAACACAGAAAGAATTGCAACGTTGGGCTCTTTCCAAGTCTGAGCTCACCCTGACTCTACAGTCAGAAGCTGGGTAGGACCTCGCAATCCAGGCGGAAGGGCGCGTAGGCGCCGCCACACTGGCCAGCCCGGGGGCGGGGCCTGTTCCCCGCGTTCTGGGTCTCCGCCGGCGAGAGCACGGCGGGGCCTGGCCTGTTCCCTTTGCTCAGGGTCTCGTTGGGCGGGGCCTGTTCCTTTTGCTCTGGGTCTCGGTGGGCGGGGCCTGTTCCCTTTGCTCAGGGTCTCGGTGGGCGGGGCCTGTTCCCTCCCCTCTGGGTCCCGGCAGGCCTTAGCCAGGCGGGGCCTGTTCCTTTCGCCCTGGGTCTCCGCCTGCGCCCGCCCCCGCCTCCTCATCTGCGCGCCACGTGACCCGCACCGGCTGCGGGCACTTGAGGGCAGGATCCCGCGCGGCCCCGGATGTGAGTCGCGGGTAGGTGAGAGCGGCCGTGCTCACGGCCTGGCTCAGCGGTGGCGGCTGCAGGTGGGGGAGCGACGGGGCTCTGCCGGCGGAGCCTCCTTGCGCGGGGCGTTGAACCCTCCGCCTGCTGGTTTCTAACCGCGCAGTAGGGAACGGCCGGGACCTTGAGTGCAGCGAGGCGCGGTTCGTGCACCCTTGCCCCGGGGCTGTAGCGCGCGTGCCGGCGTCAGGCGGAAGGAAGCCCCCTGCGGGGTGACCTGCCTCCGGGGCCGCCCTCCTTCCTGGGGTTACTCAGCAGAGTCCCGGCCGCTCTCAGAGTGGGGCACATTCCTGGTCCTTTTGTGAGGGGGGTGTAAGTCGCGGGTTTTATTTTGGGAGCGCTGGACACCTTTCGGGTTTGCTTTGGATGAGGTGGAATGCGTGTGTTGACGCTGGCCTGCTGACCTGCGTGCCGGGGGATTCACTGTTCGCGTGACAACCGAGGCCCGGGGGAACGGCCACAGCCCCGGCATGTCCTGGGTAGGCCTGAGAGCCTTTGCAAAACAGACTGTTCAGCTGACTGTGTTCTCTGTGCTTCCCACTGAATGCCCTGAGCTGAGTGCCGCCGCCGAGGGCTGGGAGCCGAAGTTGGTTTGGAAAATCACCTGTGCGCACTTGCTCATTTGGGATTTGCGAGCTCTCCAGAAAGCACCACCTGGTCTTGATTGTTTTCAGAACAACAGTACAGGGATGGTCTACTAGAAATTTTCGTGTTTGTTTTTTAGGCTTTATTGGAGTTTATGTTCGAAGAAAAGAGGCTAAACTTATCCTAAAAGGATAAGATGAAGATGGGGAAAGGCATGCTAATATGTCTTAATAGTTGTTTGATTGATGGGGTCTTGCTCTGGTGCCCAGGCTAGAGTGCAGTGGTGCAATCACAGCTCACTGCAGGCGTCACCTCAGCCTCCTGAGTAACTGAGACTACAGGTGCTTGCCACCACACTCAGCTAATTCTTTATTTTTATTTTTGTAGAGATGAGGTCTTGCTTTGTTGCCCAGACTGGTCTCAAACTCTTGGGCTCAAGCAATCCTCCCGCCTCAGTCTCTCAGTTCAGACTACAGGTGCTTGCCACCATACCCAGCTAATATTTTTATTTTTGGAGAGATGGGGTCTTGCTTTGTTACCCAGACTGGCCTCAAATTCCTGGGGTCAAGTGTCGGTCTCGGCTTCCCAAAGTGCTGGGACTACAAGTGTGTGCCACTGCCTCCAGACCTTTTTTTTTTTTGGTAGAGATATTTTCATAAATAAGACTAGGACAAAGGATTATCAATTTTACAAGTCAAGGTTATACCTCTCCCTCTCAGAGCTGATTCTGCTTCACTCTATACCAGTTTTCCTGTCAGATGTGTGTGTGTACATATATGTGTGTGTGTGTGTGTGTGTGTGTATATTAGTTTTGGTAGATTTTCTAACCATTTCATATTGCATATGGATTATTTAAAGGCTGGAACTCAATTGGGCTTGAACAAAATAAATATTCAACATATATTTGTTTAAGTATATTAGGTGCCTGACAGTTTTACATGGTGTGGATACAGAAATGAGCAAGATGGCAAAGTATCTACTCCTTTGGAATTTACATCCTAGTCGGGGGAGACAATTTAACAAATATCCGATGCTTGTGGTAATTGCTGTATTGAGAATACAGCGTGATGTGCTAGCCTAGAGAGTGGCTACTTTGGGGAAACCCTCTTTGAGGAGAGACACTGAAATTGAGATATGAATGATAAATAGGATTCCAAGAGCAGAGGGAGGAGCATTTCAGCTCAAGAAAACGGCTTTATGGAGGCAGAAGACTGGCCAAGGAGGCTGGAAGGAAGAGAGGGAGAGTGGCCAGAGTTGAGATCTAAGAAGTGGCAGATAGGAATCAGATTATATAGGGCTTTGTTTGCCGTGGTTAGGAGTTTGATTTTATTCTTTTTTTTTTTTTTTTTTTTTTTTTTTTTAGAAAGAAAAAATAAGAGAATAAAGAAGAGGAAGAAAGAGGAAGAGGGAGAGAGAATGGGGGTATTACTTTATTGCCCAGGCTAGAATGCAGTCTAAATATGGGTATGCCTATAATTGTCCTTAATAATGGAGACATGAAAGAAAATGAGGGAAGAGAATAACAAACAAGGAGCCAACCAACATTTCGTTTAAACTTCTAAGTTGATATGATGTGGTACTGATAAGAGTGTATAGTTTGTGTAAAGTGGAGAGTTCTATAAATGTTAATTACGTTTACTTGTTCCAGATCTGAGTTCAAGTCCTGGATATCGTTGTTAATTTTCTGTCTCATTGATCTGTCTAATATTAATGTTGAAGTCTCCCACTATTATTGTGTGGGAGTCTAAGTCTCTTTATAAATCTTGTATGTCTGGGTATTCCTGTATTGGGTGCGTATATATTTAGGATCTTTAACTCTTCTTGTTGTTGCGTTGATTCTTTTATCATTATATAATGTCCTTCTTTGCTTCTTTTGATCTTTGTTGCTTTAAAGACTATTTTATCAGAGGCAAAAATTGTAACTTCTGCTTTTTATTTATTTTTGCTCTCTGGTTGGTAAGTCTCTCTCCATCCCTTGTTTTGAGTCTTTGTGTATCCTTGAATGTGAGATGGGTCTGGATGCAGCATACCGATGGGTTTTAGTTTTTTGTTCGAATTGCCTGTCTGTCTTTGAATTGGGGAATTCAGTCAATTTAAATTTAGAATTAATAATGATATATGTGAGTTTAATACTGCCATTTAATATTAGCTGGCTATTTTGCCCATTAATTGATGTAAATTCTTCACTATATTGATGTTCTTTACTTTTTGGTATTTTTTAGAAAGGCTGATACTGTTTGTTCCTTTCTATGTGTAGTGGTTCTTTCAGAAGCTCTTGTAAAGCAGGCCTGGTGGTGATGAAATCTCTGAGTGCTTGCTTGTTCACAAAAAACTTTATTTTTCCTTCACTTATGAAGCTTAGTTTGGCTGGATGTGAAATTCTTGGTTAAAAGTTCTTTTCTTTGAGGATGTTGAATATTGGTCCCCACTCTCTTCTGGCTTCTAGGGTTTCTGCTGAGAGATCTGCTGTAAGTCTGATAGGCTTCCCTTTGTGGGTAACCTGACCTTTCTCTCTGGCTGCCCTTAGTATTTTCTCCTTCATTTCAACCCTGGTGAATCTGACAATTATGTGCCTTGGAGTTGCTCTTCTTGAGGAATATCTTTGTGGTGTTCTCTGTATTACCTGCAGTTGAATATTATCCTGCCTTACTAAGTAGGGAAAATTTTCCTGAATGATATCCTGAAGCGTATTTTCCAGCTTGGATTCATTCTCTTCGTCACATTCAGGTACACCTATCAAGCGTAGATAGGTCTTTTCACATAGTCCCATATTTCTTGGAGACTTTGCTCGTTCCTTTTTATCCTTTTTTCTCTAATCTTGTCTTCTAGTTTTTATTTCATTGAGTTGGTCTTCGACCTCTGATATCCTTTCTTCTGCTTGATCAATTCGGCTGTTAAAACTTGTGCATACTTAACGTAGTTCTCATATTGTGTTTTTCAGCTCCATCAATTCACTTATTTTCCTCTCTAAATTTTGTATTCTTGTTGACATTTCATCAAACCTTTTTTCAAAGTTGTTAGTTTCTTTAGATTGTGTTAGAACAAGTTGTTTTAATTCACAGAAGTTTCTTATTATCCACATTTTGAAGCCTGCTTCTATAATTGGAACACACTCGTTCTCCATCAAGCCTTGTTTCGTTGCTGATGAGGAACTGGGATCCCCTGCTAAGGGAGAGGCATTCTGATCTTGGGTATTCTCAGCCTTTTTTGACTGTTTTCTTCCCTTCGTTGTAGATTTATCCATCTGTGGTCTTTATAATTACCGTCTTTGTAATTGGGTTTCCGAGTGGACGTCCAACTTATTGATTCTCAACGCCGAAATCTGAGCAACCCACTGCACCGACTAAATCAGCGGCGTTAAGATTGATGGTGCTTTTCTGACTCTGCACCAAGAACCAATGCTCCGAGGCGCCGGCAAAACCGCCTCGCCGGTCACAAGAGTCGCGGTGGTGACCCGTGGGGCTCCTCCGCTGGGAATCTCCTGGTGCGTGAGCAACAAGAATTCATGTGAAGGTGTGGCGTCCTCTCGTTCTTTGTGTTTTCACTGGGAGCTACAATCCCGAGCTGCTAGTAATCAGCCGTCTTGGATCTCTCTCCATCTGATTTTATTCTTAATTTGTAAATTTGTTCTTGTGTGGTCTGGCTAAGTTCACTTTTTGAGGCTTACTTAAGTTTTATTTTCTTGGTTTCCTTGAGTCATTCAGATGTGGTTCCTCACCTCAAGTCTTTTGTATAATTCTACTCTATCAGACAGGATGACAAACCATAATAGGATAGCTTTCAACATGGCCACTTATAATTTCCAATGAGACTTTTGTGGTTTTTTTTTTTGGAAATAGAATTTCGCTCATGTTGCCCAGACTGGAGTGCAATGACGCGATCTCGGCTCACTGGAACCTCTGCCTCCCAGGTTCAAGTGATTCTCCTGCCTCAGCCTCCTGAGTAGTTGGGATTACAGGCATGTGCTACCACACCCAGCTACTTTTGTATTTTTAGTGGAATCGGGGGTTTCTCCATTTTGGTCAGGCTGGTCTTGAACTCCTGACGTCAGGTGATCCACCTGCCTCAGCCTCCCAAAGTGCTGGGATTATAGACATGAACCACCACACCTGATGTGTTGTTTTTAAAAGAGCAAATCCTACAGTTTCATCTGAAAGGGGGAGCAGATAGCCTTGTTTTCATCTTGTGGAGGGGGCAGCTAAGATGGTTTATTAATATAGAAAATACTTTTTGAGCTGAGATGAGCAGATCTGGAATGGGATATTGTTGAGAACTCCTTATGAGAATGGCTTTAAAGGCAAAATAAATACCTTAGGTTTTGAAAGCTCAACATCAAATCAGTTTGAAGTTATTTGACAAGGTTCTTTTTGAGGAGTTGTAGAAATTTATTGGCATGGCAATGGTGGTTGTGAGAAGCAGAGGTTATAGTCTTATAGATTCTTTTTTTCTGTTTAAATTGTTCTTATCCCAGGTAACAGGTTGTCCTTTAAAAGAGAGCTCCCTTGGCCAGGCAAGGTGGCTCAATGCCTGTAATCCCAGCACTTTGGGAGGCCGAGGTGGGCGGATCACTTGAGGCCAGGAGTTCAAGACCAGCCTGACCAACATGGGGAAATCTCATCTCTACTAAAAATACAAAAAATTAGTGGAACATCATGCGGCATGCCTGTAATCCCAGCTACTGGGGAGTCTGAGGTGGGAGAATCACTTGAACCCGGGAGGCGGAGGTTGCAGTGAGCTGAGAACATACCACTGCACTTGCTTCTGGGCAACAGAGTGAGACCCTGTCTCAAAAAACAAACAAAACAGAGCTCCCAATCCCCAGGGCTGAGGACTGGTACCAATTGTGGCCCGTTAGGAACTGGGCTGCATAGTAAGAGGTGAGGGCACAGGTGAACTCCATGTCTTGTCAGATCAGCTGCTATGTAAGATTTTCTTTTTTTTTTCTTTTTTCTTTTTGAGATGGTGTCTCGCTCTGTCACCCAAGCTGGAGTGCAGTGGCACAACCTCAGCCCACTGCAACCTCTACCTCCCTTCAGGGGATTCTTCTACTTCAGCCTCCTGAGTAGCTGGGGCTACAGGTATCCACAAACCCTACTGTGAACTGCACATGAGAGGGATCTAGGGTGTGTGCTTCTTATGAAACTAATGCCTCACAATCTGAGGTAGAACTGTTTCATCCTGAAACCATCCCCTATACCCTAGTCCAGGGAAAAGTTGTCTTCTATGAAACTGGTTCCTGCTGCCACAAAGGTTGGGGACCATCGCTTTAAAATGTCGATGTAGAGGGTTTCATTGAGCAAATTTTAAAATGTTGGCCTTTTTATATTGAATCAAATTGCATTTATGTGATTCCTAGAATGAAATAAACTTTATGTGCTTAAAAATTTCAGGCTGTTTTACTTAGAACATGGTGAAACTAATTTACACATTAGCTGATCATGGTGATGACGTCAACTGCTGTGCCTTCTCCTTTTCCCTCTTGGCTACCTGCTCCTTGGACAAAACGATTCGCCTGTACTCGCTAAGTGACTTTACTGAACTGCCGCACTCTCCGTTGAAGTTTCACACCTATGCTGTCCACTGCTGCTGTTTCTCCCCTTCAGGACATATTTTGGCATCGTGTTCAACAGATGGTACTACTGTCCTATGGAATACTGAAAATGGACAGACGTTGGCAGTGATGGAACAGCCTAGTGGCAGCCCTGTGAGGGTTTGCCAGTTTTCCCCAGACTCCACGTGTTTGGCATCAGGGGCAGCTGATGGAACTGTGGTTTTGTGGAATGCACAGTCGTACAGGTTGTATAGGTACAGATATTTAAATTCTTCCTTTTTAATTCTGTTGAGTAGATGAGCTTAAACAAAAAAAGCTGAAAGCAAAATACTTTGATATTCTGCACAGTCCAAGTGATGTGAAAAAAAGAAAAAATATTTTGATGACCCTAGGAAGCCAATAGTTTTCAGGTAGCACAAGGGAAAATAGTTTAACTGGCCTTCTAAAGGTTAAAATCCTAGAGAGATGTTTAATATGATTCTTATAGTAGATTTGCTTAGCTCTGAGAGTTTTACATTTCCAGTCTTCAAATTAAGAGTTAATCTTGTTAGACCTCTATGGATTTTTTTTTTTTTTACTTTAAGAGTTAAGCAAAGAAAGCAGTAGTTTGAATAAGGTTGAGTAATTTTAGGCTTTATTTTTATCACTTGTGGTTTAAGTGTTTTTTGTTTTTTTTTTTTGAGACAGTTTCTTTCTTGTTGCCCAGGATGGAGTACAATGGAACGATCTCAGCTCACTGCAACATCTGCCTCCTGGGTTCAAGCGATTCTCCTGCCTCAGCCTCCCAAGTAGCTGGGATTACAGGCACCTATCACCATGCCCAGCTAATTTTTTGTATTTTTAGTAGAGATCGGGTTTCACCATGTTGGCCAGGCTGGTCTTGAACTCCTGACCTTAGGTGATCTGCCTGCCACAAGCCTCCCAAAGTGCTGGGATTACAGGTATTAGCCATCGTGCTTGGCCCAAGTGTTTTCAATAATAAAGTAATAGTAGGTAAGACTCACCTAAGAGAAACAGTTATTTCTCTGACTGCAGTTCTTGCTGGGTGAATGACCAAGCCCAGAAGAACGAACCTCAGGCCTGGTGTGGTGGTCATGTGTTATTTATCATTTCTTTAAAAAAAAAAAAAAAAAAACCTCATCTGAAAAACTCTTTGGGAAAAAAAATCAATTAATTTACATTGGTAATGTTGTGTTGCAATTTAACAACATTAAAACTATTCACATTTATTTATATTGTGGCAAAATATACATAACAAGAGTTATCATTTTTGTTAGCTAGGCGTGGGTGGCGTGTGCCTGTAGTCCTCACTACTCCAGAGTCTGAGGTGGGAGGATTGTTTGAACCCAGGAGTTTGAGGCTGCAGTGAGCTAGGATTACACTACTGTACTCCAGCCTGAGTGACTGAGTGACCCTGTGTCAAAAAAATAAGTTACCATTTTTACGTTAACACTCTTAGATGACATTAAGTACATTTAAAAAACTGTGTGCTTTTAAGTATTAAAATAGCATAGTGTACTTCCGTAGCCCCCAGCATCTTTCAGAGCACAAATGCCAGTTGGTGACAACTATTGTTCATTTAAGCTTAGGTCTTTGGGTTGAAGCAGGTGATGTGTTTTAAGTGGTGTTAATAAACACTTAGGCCAAATATCTTTTTTATATGCATGAAATCCAGCTGTTGGCTAAGGAACCTTTTTCACTTACCTCATGATGGCTTCTGACTATAGCATAACTATTTCTAAAGTATGTAATTAATTGTGTATAAATGACAGATACCTTGCTGGATGGGACAGTGTATTAATTGTTGGGTTTTTAATAGCTTATTTTTCCTAATTGAGCAAATACTGGTATCTTCAGCACAGTGCCTGTCTTCCTAACGTAATTTTAACTCGTTCCCTGCATTTTCCTTTCATAAATAATTTATATGTGAAGACTTCACTGTTGCTTCTGGGTAATTTTAATACAGACATTGAAAGTACTTTTGACTCCAGTAATATGTTTTCCAATAAAAATAGTTTTATCTTACCTTTTGAAAAAACACATGGCTTTGGTCGATGTTGCTTGCCATTGCTTTTCTGGTTAAGTTTATACTGATTTGCCCTGTGGAAAAATATGAAGATACATAGACTTTATAATTTAGGCTTGAACTTACTAGTTAAAATGTTGAAGGGAGGATGTTTAAATCCTCCCTTGCTTTTACACAGTGTATCTCAGTTTATAGCGTATAAATGATATTTTATTTCTGTAGGCATCAATTTTCCTTTCTCTCTAGTTCTGTGATAGCCATTTATTCTCTTGACTGTATCAAGCTGCTGTAAGAGACTGTGGTATAAAGTGAAGGATACTCTGAAATGAAAACCCAGTTTTTTGCTTTTATTTCAGATGTGGTAGTGTTAAAGATGGCTCCTTGGTGGCCTGTGCATTTTCTCCTAATGGAAGCTTCTTTGTCACTGGCTCCTCATGTGGTGATTTAACAGTGTGGGATGATAAAATGAGGTGTCTGCATAGTGAAAAAGCACATGATCTTGGAATTACCTGCTGCGATTTTTCTTCACAGCCAGTTTCTGGTTGGTTATTTTATTCTTTTAAGCACTAGAAATTCCTGTTTGTAATTTGTGCTATGTATGACTTTTCATTCTTGTATTTTTATGTTGTCATTAGTAAAGTGAGGAGCCCTCTTAATTTATTCCTGTAAAGGAATTATCCTTCTCTCTCTTTTGACCAAAATGAAATAATAAAAAAACAGATGAGAAAAATCACCTTTAAAAAAATTTTTATTTTGGGGTCTCTGAGTTTCCTGCAAGAAAATTACATTCTTTATTATATGCAGGGGGAATCTGTTGTGATTTTTATGTGACTGAAATTGGAACAACAGATTCAGATTCCTTGGATATGGCACTTTGGAGGATCTAACCCTATTGGTATAATTGCAATAAAAAATAACTATATTGATATTTAAATTGAAATGTAAACTTCAAAAATTGGAAATAGAAGCTATGTTTTCCATTTACTAATTTAATCTTCCAAAAGCAAAATGTATAAAATAAGATGTTTGCCAACACAATTTTTTAGAAGGAAACAAAACTCCTGAATATAGTCTCTTGGTTTTAAATAGGTACAGTGAATTGAAAGTTTTTTCTTTAAAATTTTCATTTTCCATATTAGGATGGGAGTTCTGTAGCTTTTGTCCTCTGAATTCTTGTTACCAGACCCATTTTATCCATAGCAACATAATGCAAGCCACTTAGGAAAATTTAAAATGTTCTGGTAGTAGATGAAACTAAGTTTAATAATATATCACAGCATATCTGTAATGTAATTTCAATAATTGATAATAAAAATTAAGATATTTTATCTTTTGTACTAAGTCTTTGAAGTCTGGTGTGTATATTATAGATAGCACATTTCAATTTGGACTAGCTGCATTTCAAGTCTTTGGTCCACATGTGGCTAGTCAGTGCCTCATTGGACAAAACAGGTCCAGAGAGTAGACAGGATGGTTTTGGTATTCCCCCCTTTTCAGGCCCCTCAATGGCTTAAGGTATGGTTAAGATAAGATCCCAAATCCCAAAAGCAAAACATCTTCTGCTTCCTCCTAAGCTCTTGGCCTCATGCATTTTTTTTTTTTTTTTTTCCGCATTGACCTTTTTTCATTCCTGGAATGTTTCTAAGATATTTCCACTTGTTGTACGTGCAGACCCTTTACTTGGTTTGCTGTTATATCCTTTAGAATTTGGCTGAAAAATCACTAAAGATGAGCCTCTCCTGGTCTTAACTCCTGCACTTAGTCTGTATAATTTTGATAAGATCTTTTATTTGCATACTTTATTTTTCTTTTACAGTACTAAGTATCAGAATTTTTAATTATATATTTATATGGATAATATTGAATGGTGTTTTTCCTATTAGCTTGTAAGCTCCAGGCAGGCAGAGCCTGGGTCTCTTTTCTTCACCGTGCCTAATACAAAGTAGGCCTTGATGTGTAGATTGAGTAAGATTCCTTTTAATGATTTGCTGAAATAATAGATTTTCTTTTCATAAACCCATTCTTATGTTGAACTCCCTTCCTAATTTAATTAAGGCAATTATTCTTTTAATATATTGTTCTGTGCTATTTTATTCAAAAAACAGCTTGTTACAAGCCATTGCTTCCATTTCTGTATTACCTTCTCCACATCTTGTAGGCACTCAATGAATCTGGTGAATTATATAAGTGTGAAGAGATCCAGGTTCCTTTTTTGGTTCTAAATGATCTGAAGATAGATTTCCAATGAAAATACTGTTACATTAGTTAATATTAGAATAAAAATAAGGGTTTTTTTTGTCCTGCGTTTAGAAAGATTGGCAGCTTATGGGATCAGGAGAGGCTCACTAAACCAGGCAGAAAATTCTAGTTGAGGTTCTAAAATGATATCCACATTCTCACCCTGCCTTTAGAACATATTACACACTTCTCTTGGTATAATTTTAATCTGTGTGCCTTCTTTAGTTTCTTTAGTGTTTCTGTTGAAATATATATTAACCTTATGAGTAAATTCCCTGAAACAAATCGATATATGCTTAAAGGTGATTATTGTAAGAATTTGTAGGAACAACTGTATTTATTTAGAAGATAAAATATATAACCTAAATTTGTTTAATTTGGTATCTGTTAATATCTGTAAATACTTATGACATATTGACTCATCTTGTGACATTTTGCTGAAATAAGGAAAAATAATCCTGTTGGCACCTGAGAAGAAATGATCAGTTCTCTCCAGTTTTTAAGTGATAAAATGTGGGTTAGATTATTATCATAATTTAAATGTTTTTCATGAAGAAAAATATGTTTCTAAATATTATATTTAGATATTGAACATAGGCACATTTTTAAGCTGTATGCTTTGTCTTCGCTGAATTTTCACTACTTAACAGAACTTCAGAATTCAAAGGATTATTTAGTTAAGGAACAATGAAAAAATAGGTTTGCTAATCAGGTCTAATACCTAAATATTTTGCTCTCAGCCATTTCTTGAATAAAATATTTTGCCTTAAAAAGACAATGATTATCAGGAATTGCTTGTATCCCTCAACATCTCTCTTAGAACGGATACATTTTGGGTAAACCTATGCTGCAAAATAAATACATGCTATTGAAATATGGAAGTCCCATGGAGTTAGAAAAGTTTTCAGTGAAATGGAATTTAATTTGTTGTTTGCTAATAAATTGTTTCTACTTCTAAAGAGGAAGAGAGTTTATAGAAAAAAATTTACATGCCTAGGTGTATACATTTGTTAAATTTTATATACTGAACATTTGTTAAGCCAGAGTGCCATTTTAAGATGGATATTAGATTTCTGTTTTGGAGACAGGGTCTTGCTTTGTCATCCGGGCTGGAGCGCAGTGGTGTGATCATAGCTCACTGCACTGCAGCCTCAAACTCCTGGGCTCAAGGGGATCCCCTGCCTCCGCCTCCTAAGTAGCTACAATTACAGGTGTGTGCTACCACACCTGGCTAATTGAAAAAAAATTTTCTAGAGAAAGTGTCTTCATATTTCCCAGGCTGGTCTCAAACTCCTGGCCTCAGCCTCCCAAAATGCTGAGATTACAGACTTTAGCCACCATACCCAGCCTCGGTTTCTTAATTGTGCTTTACTGTGTATGAGTGCCAAAACTTACTTGATGAAACTATGTGTAATATTAGGTGCAACTTGTGTAAAATTGCATTGATGATATCAATATTTCCATTATCCAAAATTGTTTACAAACTTAATCTAGTAGATGTATAATAATAAACAAAAATTAAGTCAGTGTGAAGTAATAGGACTTTCGTGACACCACTTAACTGATTACTTTCCCTAAATAGTATAATATTTTAACCAAATGGAGTGAATTGATGTTTCTTTTTTAATAACTATAATTCTAGCCTTTGCCTTGATTAAATAAAATGGAAAAAAAATTCCCATTATTATTCCATGTGAACTATGGACCAGGCTTTTGAGAATTGACATGACCTTAAAAGAAGGTTGGGAATGATTAAACAGTTAACACTCTTATTGTAACTGACTTTTCTTCCCAATTTTTCCCATGAATCCTAGCCTCATAGACTCTAAAATTGAGTTAGAAGATGCTCTGTTTAGTGCTCAATATTGGTTCTTGCAGCCTTGAATTATATTCTTTGGGAAAGGTAAATAAAAGGTATTTTATTATAGCAACTTGTGGACTAAAGTTATAATCCTGTATAGTAGCTAGTTTAAAAGAAATTCTTTAACCAACATTTTGTTAAATGGTATAAGTTAACTAATAACTTGTGAACATGGTTTAAATGAGTAGAATTAACAGATCTCAGTATAAGAAATGGAATTTTTTTGCAGTTTAAGTAATTCACAAATTCTCTGTATTTATTTTTAACAAATTTTAGATGGAGAACAAGGTCTTCAGTTTTTTCGATTGGCATCATGTGGTCAGGATTGTCAAGTCAAAGTCTGGGTTGTTTCTTTTACCCATATCTTTGGTATGTATGCAAAGTAGCACATCTCTGAAATTATTTGTGATTTGGTTAAAATTTCTATTTTATCTTTTTACATAACCCTGGGTATCTAAAAGTGAGTATAACAATATGGTTTAAGAAACTTTGAATCAGGCCGGGCGCGGTGACTCAAGCCTGTAATCCCAGCACTTTGGGAGGCCGAGGCGAGTGGATCATGAGGTCAAGAGATTGAGACCATCCGTCAACATGGTGAAACCCTGTCTCTACTAAAAATACAAAAAATTAGCTGGGCATGGTGGCACGTGCCTGTAATCCCAGCTACTCAGGAGGCTGAGGCAGGAGAATTGCCTGAACCCAGGAGGCGGAGGTTGCGGTGAGCCGAGATGGCGCCATTGCACTCCAGCCTGGGTAACGAGAGTGAAACTCCGTCTCAAAAAAAAAAAAAACGAAAGAAACTTTGAATCAAAGTAACACACATGATTTAAAAATCAGATGCTCATTGCAGTTCACGACCTCACCTGTACCACTGCCATTCACATTTCTGCATAGCAGTAGTGACCACTTTGCACTTGGTTTCAACCCCTTTGGTCGTTTTCACAGTTTGTTGTTTATATCACATTTTTAAAAAAAATTTATTCACTGTAGTTACTGCTTTTTGATAGTGTGTGGGTCTTTTTCCATCCATTGTACTATTCCGTCAGGTGAGCCTTTCAGTCAGAAAGCTTATTTTGTGCGGTTTTGGAATATTCTGTTATTTCTTTAATAATTCCTTCTCTGTTTTTCTCTCTTTTCACAACTTCCATTAATTGAGTGTTGGACCTCCGTGTCCCCGCCAGATTTCTCTCTTTTCTTGTACTTTAGGGAAAAATTTGTCTGCTTTTTCTCTTAACCTTTTTTTGAATCTTTTATCTCAACTGTATTTTCAGATTCCAAAAGCTCACCATCCTCTCTGTTTCCTTTTTGTAGCGTCTTTTATGAATGTAAGATCTCAGAACGCTGAGGTTGTCATTTAGGAGTTTTTTGCTTAAGTTCCCTTCTGTTTTCTGATCTGTTTGCAAATGGGCCCCCTTTTTGTTTAGTATTCTGTTTGCATTTAAGAATTAGACTTTAATGTTTAGAAGCTCTGTGCACAGGGATGGTTTGTTATTGCTGGCTTCCCTTTAGGATGAGGAGGTGGGTGGTTGGCCCTTCTAGGTGAGGGTTTGGGGACTTAGGGAGTGGATACTCTGTCACCCTAGAGCTTCCCAGGCAGTTAGGTTTTTTTTTGAAAAGTTTCACCGGGGATAAGTGATTGGCTTTTGTGCAGCATACTAAGGGTGAAATTGGGGAGGGACTGGAGGTGCACACTGAATGGTCTATATATAGTCAGTCAGTTCATTATTCTCTTTTCAGGTCTATGTCTGTGTCATTCTAATTTTCCTTTTTCCTGGCTATTGGTATTCTGGAACCTTCAGGTATTTTCTTCCTCCCCACCCCAACTCCTCTCCCTGATCTTTCCCTGGCTAATTTAAAAATGTTTTTTTTAGAGATAGAATCAAAGTTTGTTGCTCAGGATGGTCTCCAACTCCTGGCCTCAAGTGATCCTCTCACCTTGGTCTCCCAAAGTGGTAGGATTACAGGTGTGAACCACTGTGCTTTGCCAGTCTTGGGATGTTTTCTAGGGCAGAATAACTTTCTTCTTGGCTCTACCCCCGTCTCTTTGCACTGTGGGCTGTTATTCCTTTATACTTCCTCATGAATCTGTTTTCTGCCTTCCCAAAGTTGATTTCAGTTTCTGGTTTGCCGATGCCCCTCTTCCCACTCTCTTTTCCAGTATACATTTCTGTCTTTATTAATTCTGTCATTGACGCTTTCATGGGGAATCTGAGATTTTGTGATCATCTTGATTGATTCAGGAGCCTCAAAATATTATTTGTTACCCAATAAGCTTCAGTTAAATCATAAATGACATTTTTGTTATTCATAATTATGCTAGTGTATAGTGTATAGACAGGAGCCTTTTATCAGGAAATATATTCCTTTTTTGATGGAAATGTAGTTATTTATTGCCTATTAGGTTACATTTAGTAGTTATTTTAACATCTGACATACTGTGAGGATGAGAGTTTACTTCTGTGGTTGATCCTACCTCTTCTGCTTGTTTTCTTTTACCAGAAATAAAATTCTGATAAGAAACTGTAAGTACATGCGTTTGTGTGGGAGTTCTAAAAACAATGTATCTTTAATAATTGTTCTAAAGTAAAGCGTTTCACATGTTTACCAGAAAATATTTTGACAGTGACTTTTTAACAAAAACATACATGACAGTTGATAAATGGTGCGGTTAAAATCTTTTCATAAGGCTGGGCGTAGTGGTTCACACCTGTAATCCCAGCACTTTGGGAGGCTGAGGCAGGAGGATCACTTGAGGTCAGGAGTTCAATACCAGCCTGGCCAACATGGTGAAACCCTGTCTTAACAAAAATACAAAAATTAGCCAGGTGTGGTTATGTACACCTGTATTCCTAGCTACTCGGGAGGCTGAGGCAGGAGAATTGCTTGAACCCAGGAGGCAGAGGTTGCAGTGAGCTGAGATTGCACCACTGCACTCCAGCCTGGGTGACAGAGCAAGACTCTATCTCAAAAAAATAATGATAAAAATAAAACCTTTTCATAAAGCATTTATCACCATTTGTACCTTATCATTTGCTTATTTGTAGAGAGAGGAGTGGAGAGACATATGGGTCTTATAACTTGAGGACATAACCTAGTCTTATGGTTGTATTAACGTTTTATAGTGTTAATTTGGTTTGCAACTTAGTATGCTTGCTTTGTTTGATTAATGGTGCCTACTTATTGCTCTGTTCCCAGTTAGAATTAAAGCCTTTTGAAGTTCATCATTATATTTCTAGCACTTAGCACAGTGCCTTTAGTGTGTGTCTCTGCTTTCCCAGATAAAAATATATATTTTTTCCTGTTTTGAGCTTCAAACTTTTACTTAGATTACCTTTTTCTTTAGCTAAATGCTTATTATTCTCACTAAGACATTTAACACTTCAAAAAGGGTTTTATTGTGTCTGACGTAGTTATAAATTTCACTTGTGTATTTCCTTTTCCTTCCCCCAACTGCTGCCAATTTCTTGATATTTATTTTTATAGGTTGTCACCAAAATATATTGAATTCCCTCAGTTTACTTTTAAAATAGTTGTGATATTTATGCTTAGTAATTCTAAAAGCATAAAAAGGATTTTAGTGTTATACTTTGTAGGAGTGTTATATTTTATAAAGATAATATTGGAATTACAGGATGTGTAAATTACCATTGATTATTTTTATTTATAGAATGAGAAAATATTTTAAATGCCAGATTTTAAAAAAAGTAAGCATTTTTTAAAAGTCTTTTGGGCAATTGGCATATTTTGTTTTTATGAGACACTAAAATTGTGGTCTAGTTTGAATGTTTAAAACTTTTCGTAGTATGAAATTACCCCACCTAGCCTTTGTTGAGCTCATTTTTTAAATCCATTACCGAGCTTTTGATATGTGAGACAGAGTACAAACGCAGGAAGCCATGTTTGCTCCTTTCTGCTTGCCAGCATAATTTCACAAAGCCCTGACTCTGTGATAACAGAGCTCTCCAGAAGAATGCCTGAAAGACAAAAGAGGTGAGCACACAGTCCCCCACGTCTCTTGCCTGAGTCACTACATTCCTTAAAAGATAAATGAACCCAGTCTTGCCTCTTTTTACCTAAGATAATGTCTAATGGCGCCAGTGATAACGCTTCTGCAATCTGTAACCAAATGTATGCTTACAGTGAACCTTGATGTGATTCTGCTTTAATGTAACTTCTGTTTGATGTGATTTTACACATACTAAACCTCCACCACCTGTATATAAGCAGTGGGCTGAAACACCGCTTTGAAATGGTCTCAGGGACCGGGCGCGGTGGCTCAAGCCTGTAATCCCAGCACTTTGGGAGGCCGAGGCGGGTGGATCACGAGGTCAAGAGATCGAGACCATCCTGGTCAACATTGTGAAACCCCGTCTCTACGAAAAATACAAAAAATTAGCTGGGCATGTTGGCGTGTGCCTGTAATCCCAGCTACTCAGGAGGCTGAGACAGGAGAAGTGGCTGAATCCAGGAGGCGGAGGTTGCGGTGAGCCGAGATCGCGCCATTGCACTCCAGCCTGGGTAACAAGAGTGAAACTCCGTCTCAAAAAAAAAAAAAGAAAAAGAAAAAGAAATGGTCTCACAGACTGCCCTGTAGCTCTCAGGCCATAGGCCTTAGTTTATAGTCTTCAGTAAGACTTCTGAGTAAAACCACTTTAATTCTTTAAAAGCTTGACTTTTTTCTTTAGTCAACAGAAACCAGTTAATCACACTGCATCCCATTTATTTCCTGATAGATATCTGAGCATGAGGGTTTTTAATTTTTGTGTCCTTTAGGCACTCAAAGATTATTGAATACATAAGTGAAATGGTGTTGACTTAAAGTCAATTCTAAGCATGGTCAGCTTGCTATTCTCTGTTACCTTGTTATTTGCAGGTTTTGAATTAAAATATAAAAGTACGCTGAGTGGGCACTGTGCTCCTGTTCTGGCTTGTGCTTTTTCCCATGATGGGCAGATGCTAGTCTCTGGGTAAGCTGGTTTAATTTTCCTAAACCATTTTTATATAAAATTGAAAAGACGTTCGGAAAAGTATGTGAAACCTCAACGAATAGCTTGATGAACCACCACAAAGGTCAAGAAGTAGAACTTTGTTGGTTCTGCCCTAGAAGCCCTCCCCAAGTGCCCCTTTTTGGTGAGAGTGTGTTAGGTCATATGCGCTACTGCTTTTTTCTTTAAAACTGACCTGCCGGGCGCAGTGGCTCAAGCCTGTAATCCCAGCACTTTGGGAAGCCAAGGCGGGTGGATCACGAGGTCGAGAGATCGAGACCATCCTGGTCAACATGGTGAAACCCCATCTCTACTAAAAGTGCAAAAAATTAGCTGGACATGGTGGCACGTGCCTGTAATCGCAGCTACTTAGGAGGCTGAGACAGGAGAATTGCCTGAACCCAGGAGGCGGAGGTTGCGGTGAGCCGAGATTGCGCCATTGCACTCCAGCCTGGGTAACAAGAGCGAAACTCTGTCTCAAAAAAAAAAAAAAAAAAAAAACTGACCTAAAATTAAACAATATGAATTATTTTGTCTGGCTTTCTGTACCCAAAATTACACTTGTGACATTAATTCCTATTATTGACTGGAGCTGTGGCCCATTGATTTTCATTGCTGTGTAATATTCCATGCATGGATACATTATATATAATAGTTCATTTTAATGTTAAAGGTTATTTGATTGTTTCTGATTTGAGAGCATTACAATAATAATTCTGTGAGAATATATTGTATGTCCTGGTATACATGTTCATGCATTTCTGTAAGATAAATACATAGGAATGGCTTTGTTGAGTCATAGAATATGGGCATTTTCAACCTTGGCAGATAACAATAGTTTCCAAGTGGCTGAACAATTAATATTCCTAAAGCAGTGTTGTTTTATATCCTAGCCTATACTTGGTATTGTGAGTTTTTAAAATTTTAGCTGTTCTGATGAGTGTGTAGTGTTGCCTTACTGTGGTTTTAATTTGCATTTCCCCAGAACAAAGTGGCTGGGACCTTTTTAGAAGTTTATTAGCCACATGTATTTCCTCTTCTGTGAAGTACCTGTTCATGTCTCTGGCCCATTTTTTTCCCTGGGTTATATTTTTCTTACTGATCTGTTGTTATCTGTGTGTGTGTGTACTTTTATATTTGAGCTGTTCGTTGCTTGTTGCAAATATCTTTCCCACCCTGTAGATTTGCCTTTTCACGGTTATGTTCTGAGGTCATGAAGATATTTTCCTGTATTCTGAGACCTTCGTTGTTTTGCCTTTCAGACGATTTATGTGTATGATGTGCAGTAGCAGTACCATTTTATTTCTTTCTGTGTGACTATCCAGTTGTCCTAGCACTATGTATTGAAAAGACCACTTTTCTCCTCCATTTTATTATACTCCCTCATCTGAAATCACTGACCATTTATGTGTGAGTCTGTTCCTTAACGTGCTACTTTGTTCTGTTTCTGTCCTTGCTCTAATATGATTGTCTTTCCCAGACTTTATATTTTGTCTATTCCTATCTATTGACTTGCTCATATAAATTTTAGAATTAACTTGTCAAATTGCCCCAATTCCTACCTCCACACACACCTGTTTGGATTTTAATTGGGATTATATGGAGTCTGATGAATTTGGGAGGAATTGACATCTTTATGAAATTTGTCTTGTAATCTGAGAATATTGCATATTTCTTTATGTTTTAATTTCTCTCAAAAATTGTCTTCTCTGTAGAAATTCTCATCTTTATTGGCCTTATTTCTAGGCACTTGTTAGTATGTAAAAGATGTAGCTAATATAAGGAAATCAATAATGGAAATAAAATGGACTTACCTAGAAAATTTCTTATTTTGGATTATATATATACAAAATCAGATCATTTGTAGATAATGATGGTTTTGTTCCTTTCTAATCCTTACATCTTTGGTATCTTCTGTGCCTTACTGAACTGCTGATACTACCAGGCTAATAAAAGCGGCAATAACAGGCCTCGTTGTCTGATTCCTCATTGCAGAGGGAAAGGTTTTATTATTCGATATGATCATTGTAGGTTTTTGAGATAAGCTTTATTCTTCTATTCTTTCTAGTTTGTAAGAGTTTTGTTGTTGTTGTTTTTAAATCATGCAAGGGTGTTGTATTTCATCAGATGATTTTTCCTACATCTTTTGAGATGATATAATTTTTCTCTGTTACTGTTAGTGGAGTGAATTAAATGATTTTTAAATGTTAAACCAACCTTGCTTTGTTGAAACAAACATATTTTAGGATATATTGTTTTTGTGTGTTGTTATAGAGAAGTTAGTTTCATTCTAACTGTTGTGCCTTTGGATGTAATTCATTTTTCTCTGGCTGCTCATGAAATTTTTCTTTTGAGGTTTTTGCACATCTACTTTGTATCTACATGTGGGTTTCCTATTTCGTTTGCTTGGAATTTATTGAACTTCTTAAATCTGTGGAATGATATTTGGCAGGACTTGGTGATTTATGCCTGTAATCCCAGCACTTTGGGAGGCCTAGGCAGGCAGATCACTTGAGCTCAGGAGTTCCAGTCAGGCTGGCCAACATTGTGAAACCTCGTCCTACTAAAAATACAAAAATTAGCTAGGCACGGTGGCAGGCACCTGTAATCCCAGCTACTCAGGAGGCTGAGGCAGGAGAATTGCTTGAACCCAGGAGGCAGAGGTTGCAGTGAGCTGAGATCATACCACTGCACTCCAGCCTCAGTAATAGACTGTCTTAAAAAAAAAAAAAAATCTGTGGTATGATATTTTACCACTTTTGGAAAATTCTTATTTATTATCTCATCAAATAATTGCCTCTGTTCCTTTTTTTCTGTCCTCTACTTCTGGGATTCCAATTAAATGAACATTATACTTTCTCTCTGTAAACTTTCTCTTTTGCATTTACTGTGTGTGTGTGTGTGTGTGTGTGTGTGTGTGTGTGTGTGTGTGTTTGTGTTTCCTGTGGTTGATTCTGCATGGCTTTTTCTTTTCCAATTCATTCTTCAGTGAATATGATATTAAATTGGTCCATTGAGTTCTTAATTTTGCTTATTTTATGTTTTGGTCCTAGAATTTCTATTTGTCAGTTTTTTTGTGTTGTCACTTTTTATGATTTCCAGTTCTGTGTTGAAATTTTCAACCTTGGCTTTTATATTTCAAGCCTTTGTTCTGTTAGGCAATTGGCTGGAACATAGTTACATGATTCAATTACTTTATACTCTTTCCCCTTTGAATACTTTTGTATATTTTATCCTTGCCATTAGATTTTCTAAAACTGTCCTGTCTGATCTTACAGGTCATAGCATTCTGACCCACATTTATGGCTCTTCATAGCAGCTTTCATTCCAGTTAAGATACTCAGGCTCCTAACCTCCACTTACAATGTCTGGACTAAGCCTGATGGTTCTTTTTTCCATATGCTCCAATTCTTCTTGCCAAACAGCCAAATTACCAGTTATGTTGTCAGCATTGTAGACGTGGTTCTTTCATCTCTAAAGATGAAGATTATTCATCAAAAGGTATTTACAGTATTGCCTTTTGACCTAGAATTTAAATCACTGGAAAGTTTAAACAAATAAAGTTGGACTCTTTCTGCTGTTTTATGTGCCCAGCTCTCTGTCAGTTGCAATAGGGCATAGAAAAGGAAGTACAAGTGTGTGTGCTCTTGAAGACATTTTAAGTCCCCTCTTTCCTAATAGTTAATGTTCATTGTGATGAACTAATAATACTGCCAGACCCTGACATGTACTTACCCTCTGAGTCACAGAGGAAGCGTTAAGTGATACTCAGTGTTGTTTTAAGTTCATTTTATAGCAGTATAATTCTTTGCCAGTTTGTATATATGTGACTTTTAGTTAACATTTATGGAAATGTGTCCTTCGTAATCATTCTGGATAAATGGAAGTTTACATTATTAAGTGCTTTTGGGTATATGGTGTTGCTCAAGGTCACATTCAAAATAATTTTTCAGAATATTTTTAGTTTATTTGGATAAATGTACAGGCAAATGAATGAGAAATGTAGATTAATAAACTTAATATTTAGTTTTTTAGAAGAATTGACAGGCATATTTAAATCATACTTACTAGATAAAAACAGATGAATTAGTTAATGATAGATTCTATTTGTGACTAAAAGTCATTGATAAGATAGAATGGATACATATGGGAAAGAGGGAGACTGGAAAAAAGTGAGTGGATAAAAGATGGCTATATACGAATGTAAGTGGCTAGAGATGAAAAGTGAATGGACGACAGAATGTGGTTGTCGGTCAGAATCTGTACTAAGGGCTGGGTGTGGTAGCTCATGCCTGTTATTCCAACACTTCAAAAGGTCAAGGCAGAGGATCACTTGAGGCCAGGAGTTTGACACCAGCCTAGGCAACATAGTGATACCCAGTCTCTACAAAAAAAATTTAAGGAAATTAGCTGGGCATAGGGGTGTGTGCCTATAGTCTCAGCTATTTGGGAGGCTGAGGCAGGAGAATCCCCTGAGCCCAGAAGTTTGAGGCTGCAGCAACCTATGGTCATGCCACAGCACTCCAACCTGGGCAACAGAGTGAGAACTTGTCTCTATTAAAAAAAAAAAAAGAAAGAAAAAAGAGATGTACTAAGGAAGGTGTATGGGGCGTAGATAAGGATGGCCTTGTAAAAGGCAGTGTAGAATTTCTGTGCAGATATGAGAAGATTGAGGAACAGAAAGGGCATTCTAGGAGGCAGGAAATTCTTGAGCAGATTAAAATGTATGATAAACATTCAAGTAAATAAGGAGAAATGAGGCCAGAAAACAGATCGTAGAGATAATAGAGAACCTAGGATGGACCAGGCATGGTGACTGATGCCTGTAATCCCAACACTTTGGGAGGCTGAGGCAGGGGATCACTTGCACCCAGGAGTTTGAGACCAGCCTGGACAATATAGAAGGACCTGGTCTGTACAGATAATAAAAAGTTAGCTAGACATAGTGGTATGCACCTGTGTTCTAGCTCCTCAGGAGGCTG